GTACTACCTCCGTCTAGGTGAATAAGTCATTCGCGTAGTTCTAGATCATCGATTTGAGGAATTAAATATGTGTTATATGTCATGAAAAGTATATCACTAGATTTTTACAAGGATGTAGTTTCTAAATATATATTTTTTGTCACATATAATACATATTTAGATAGTTAAATCGTCAACCTAGAACTACGCGAATGACTTATTCACCGAGATGGAGGTAGTACAAAGAATTTTTAAGAAGCAATCCTATAGGACGCAATCATAGGAATCAAACACCATCATAGAAAAATTCCTACGAATCAAAGAGGCCCTTGGCATGGTTCAGTCAAGCATGCCCCTCGTTACTCCACCAACCACCATATGCATCCGTATAGCTGATCATAGCTTTCAGCACAGCGCCGGCCCCGCCATGATTTCCCGCTCTGCGAAATCGATCACGCCTGTCGTCTAGTCCTTCCCTAGCCGTCACCCTCCGGTCACTCTCTCTCACCACACATGCATGGCCGACATGACATCCTGTCATCGCCGCGGCTGATTGTCCTTGCTTTCATGGCGAACTGTGTGCCTACCTACTCATGCTAGCCGGCCCCAACGGCCCAACCTCGGGCGGTCCGTTATCATGTACTGCAAAGGGCAACACATTGGTAAACTGTAATTTTGCAATGTCTGATTGGCTGTACCCGATGCCAAGAATGTTCTAGAACGACGGGATCGACTGCATTGCCTTGTTTCCCCTTTGAAAGGATGCCGATCTCTGTATCAATTGATGTGTGTATGTGAGCATCTGCAATTATACGGTGTTAAAAAAGAAATTTCTTGTGGTTACTTTATTTCTCAATCTGGTCCTTCCGTTCCATCGCGGTTAACCCTGCCGTCGCACGCTGCCTGCTGATAGGATGCAGTATCCCTTGTCAGATCTTAGCCAATCGGCCTTCCAAATTGAATATGCAACAACGAGTTCCACATGGTGTGTTGTTTATAGGCTATGGTTAGATCAGGCAAGGGGAGATATGCATGCACATCGTAGCTAAGACACTTGAAAAGAAATTTGAGTTCTTTCGACAAGACAAAAGGCCCACTTTCTGCAGGAATCAGCAGACGTGATGGCTGCGTATTGTCACTACGCTCTGGTCATCAGTCTTTAGGGGGAAAGATCGCTCTTATCAGATCGAGGAGAATCGTTTGGCTGAAAGAACAAAGAAAGGTACAGCCAACCAAAATGCCTGAGAACTAAAAACTCATTATTTGTATCTTTCTCTTAGCTAAAATGGAGTCGAAAATGGACATCTGAATAACCATGTGTGTCCGGTTTATGCCATCGGCATACTTTATCCTTGAGTCAGCCAGCCGACCTTGTGCTGCTCACGAATCTTAGAGTATCTCCGGCCGTTTGGCCCCAGACACCGGGCGAAGGGTTTTGGCGTTTGCGCCGCCGTTTTTTTGGGTCTGGGGACGATCAATGTTTCGGCCCCCAAAACGCATATAAAATTCAAAGTCCATTTTCCCGCTACAAAAAACGACACAGTCCGGCAATCATGCCACAGGGCCGGCGATCGAACATAGCCAAAGTTCGCGATCAAAAGGGTAGGAACAAATAGATATGGAGCTCAAGCGGTAGGCTCCTCTGCCGCAGGGCTGGCCGAGGTCGGCGTGGGTGTCAGTGTGGGCACATCTTCAGTGTTCGGGCTCGGCATCGATGTGGGCGCAGCTCCAATGCTCGGGCTCGGCGGTTGGCGTAGGTGTGGTGGTCGCCGACGGTCCTGACATCTGTTTCAAGATGAGGCCGCGCTCCGCCAGGTACCACGCCTTCACCTGCTCGTCCATAGTCGACGTGTCTCCCCCCATCAAGAACGCCAACTCGATGTTCCTCTTCTTCGTGGTGACGTTGGTCCTGAGAAGGTCGAGCTTGGCGTCCTGCTTCGTCATCAACGCCGACCACCTCGTGTCGGATTTCTACCCTCTCTTGGCGGCGTTGCTCTTAGCGTCGGTGATGCATTGCTTGATCGACGACTGCAATCGTTCGACAGCTGGTGCCGCGTCCCCTTGCCACCTTGGCTCGTTTGTTGCCATCAGGGCGCCCTTCTGCCGCCGTTGGGGCAGGCGCGTCCGGGTTGTAGGTGTCCTTCGCCTTGGCGAGAGCGAGCCCGACCTCCGTCCATTTCTCGCACGACTCGATCCTGGTGAACACATGAAGGAACTTGAACTCTTGATCGCTGTTGTCCTGGCGGAACATGTTGAACATCCGAACCATCTGCACATCCAAAGACAAAGTGTCGACGAAGTACATGGCGAGGAACTGGGCCGGCGAACGATGGCCATACCTGACCCTCGACGTTGGCGCCGCTTTCCGGGCGGTCCGCGACCTCCTCTTGAATCCCATGCCACTTGTTGCAGGTTGTCTGGATTGTCACCCAGTGGTTCGCCATGGCCTTCTCGCCGCGGTCCATGTGGATGTTGGCGAAGTCCGGGTCGACCAACTTGCACTCGTTGAACGCCATCTTGATCCTTCTCCAGTACGTGTCGGCGTTCTAATTCGAGCTGGTGATCGGGTCGATGCTGACGGTCTTCCATGCTTCGGCGAGGCACTCGTCTTCCTTGAACGTCCACTTCACGCTAGGCTCGCCCAGCCTGGCGTTGGCCGCCCGATTCTTCTTTTTCGCTTTGGGCGCCGGCTCCACCTCCGTTGGTTCCTCCTCGGTGTCGTCGAGCTCGTTCTCGATATGACGGCGTCGTCCAAAGTTTCGTCTTGTGTGCGAAACCCAGGGCACGAAGCGGCAGCGATCGAGCTGATCGTGATGATCTCGTCCATGTCGCCGTCGATGCTGAACGGTGCCGCCGAGTCGTATGCGAATGGGAGGGCGCCACGATGCAGGCGAACTTGAGTGAGTCGGCGGCGAGTAGCTGTACTGGGTGTTGAGGCCGGCGGCGAACGTGGGGGAGGGAGTACGCGGGTCGTGGTTGAAGCCGGACAGGGACGCGCACGGCGCCGCGCCATGTGGGAAGGTGATGTTGGGGTTGAAGCCTCCATGCGCGTCGCCATCGGGATAGCCAGGCGAGGCCGCGTACCCCCACAGCGGCGGTGAGAAGTTGGACGGCAACGGCGACGCGACGCTCTACTGGCTTCCCCACGCGGCTTGGGGGCACTGGGCGTCCTGTTCAGGTAAAAGGTTCGCCATCCCCGCGCGAGCCACCTCTCCCTGCTACTCCACCGTCGCCGCCACGTCCCTAGCCTTCTTCATGATGAGCATGTTCCGCCAGTCGGTGGTCACTGCCTCCCGATGCTCAACGTCGGCCTTTCACTCGGCGTTCGACAAGCCTGGGGGTCTTGCCATTGGCGCCCTCAGCTTCCTCTTCTTTGGCTGAACGAAATCGGCGGCTAGGCGAGGGGCGACATACTTCTTCGGCGGCATGACGGGCGGATCCGGGAGAGAGAATGGCGGGAAGGGCGGGGGAGAAGGGGGCGACACTGGGGAAATGGTGGGAAAGGGGGAAGAAAACGGCGGGAATTCGGCCGGTGTCGCCGACAACACTGGCCCACGCGCCTTTTTGCTACAGCCGGCGCCCCCAGGAGCCTCTTGGCGCGCTGGGTTCGGCTTGTGCTCGCCGGTTGTAATTTCGGGCCAAACCGGCGATAAACGAGGATCTGGGGGCACGGCTGGGCCGGTTCTTTCGCCGCTGACGCTAAAAAAGGCCCCCTGGGGGGCCTGTTGGGGGGGGGGGCGAGTGGAGATGCTCTTGTTGGGGGGGGGGGCGAGTGGAGATGCTCTTAGATTCAGGCATTCAGCTACCAGAGTAGTACTACTCTTAATAAGTAATAATTTCCGCTAACCACTCAAGCATTTTTTTTTATTTTTTTTCGGGGAACCACTCAAACAGTTTAAAGTACCAACTTTTGGGTTGCTAGAGGATTGCCTCAGTATCACCCTATTAGGCTAGTCATAGTGGGAGTAACATAAGTAGTAACATAGATATCACATAAGCAAAAAAGATGACGTGTCATGTAATTAAAGAGGAGAGAGACAAATAGAGTAACATAATATGTTACCATCACATAGCGGTTTCCAATATAAAATGAGTCTACAAAGCAATAAATGAAGATATGCACGTTACTACACCTATGGCACTTCCCACTATGAAGGTGGTAACATGGACTAGTAACATATGTATGTTACTAGTCTAAGTTACTCCCCATTATGACTAGCCTTAGTATTGGGAATGGTATACGAGGATTGCTGGAGATGCTCTTATAATACTACGTACGTAAAACGCCAGCCAATTCAACCATGTAAGGCTAGTCATAATGGGAGTAATTTAGGTAGTAACATAGCGCATTTCAAAAAAAATTTGCTTAGGTGACAAGTAGTTAATGAGAGGTGGTAACATAATATGTTACTGTAACATAGCGCTTCACGAGGCAAGATGAGTCTACAAGTTAATAAATGAAGCCATCCATGATACTACTATTATGTTACTTTGCATTATGAAGGTAGTAACTTAGACTAGTGTCATGCATATGACACTAGTCTAAGTTACTCCCCACTATGACCAGCCTAAGGAATACAAGTAGAATCATATTCAGCACATTTCAAACAGATTATTTCCTCTCCCAGACAAGCTTACAAGGCCTTTCGGCTTGGACTTTTGTAGTCCGTAACATTGCACTTTGGCCATATTTGCGCCACCAGATCTGACATACTCCATACCCATAAAGAAATGAACACGAGGAACTCACGCTGCTCTTTCTTAATAACCACGTACTACAATAGGAGAGCAACGGTTGAGTCGTCAGCGTCCAATGCCGTCATACGTTGGCCCTTGCATGGCTCATGAATCATGGATTTAGCAAGATACTTGAAATGCATATGTATAATTGTTGAGCAGTAAATTTATGCCACTCCTTGCCCAATCACGACTATAAATAAGACCCATGTCCAGCTGGTTTGCTTCACACCACTACCCACTAGCACTGGACGCAACACACTGCACCGCAGCGCGCGCACACCATGGATCTACTCCTGCCACTCGTCTCGCTTCTTCTGGTCAGTGCAAACGGCACAATCTCATCAGATATTTCTGTCCATACACTAATTGCATACCTATGTCACGTGTGTGTGTGTGTATTTGTGCAACTTGTAACAGTCGTTCGTTTATTTGTTGTGATGCATCCAGATTACTGGAGGAGGCAGTCATCATGTGAGCTTCGCCAATGCGGCCACGGCGAACTCGGTGACGCCGAGGGCGTACTGGGAGGCGGTGCTTCCCGGAACTCCAATGCCCCCAGCCGTCAGCGACCTGTTACTCCAACAAGAAGGTCTCTCTCTCTCTCTCTCTCTCTCTCTCTCTCTCTCTCTCTCTCCCTCTCTCTCTCTCCAAAATCGTAGACCTGATTGGTCTGAAGCTGAGTGTGTAAATTTTTTTTTCTTTTTTTTTTCTCGAATACGCACGAGTGTGTAAATCGAATATAGTTGTAAAGTAAAAGGTATACCTTTTTGGGGGGGAATGGGAATTAGATAAAACTAAACATAACTTTTAATAGAGACCGGATATTCAACAAAAGATTAGGTTTAAATGTAGCCTGTCATTCACAACATAAACGATCTGTTTGTGTCTATGCATACCGCAAACACGAGTCTCGTTTTATTTTGTTGTTGTGATATATGACTCTGATGTTCAGAGGTCTAATGTTCAGAAGGGCAACCTAGTGTCAAAAATGATCTTATATTTTGGGACGGAGGGAGTAGTATTTAGCATATTCTATTTGTAGTTTTTTTTTAATTTGTTGTCTTTGCATGCATGCATCACCCCGTTCAATTTGATTTTATATGACTTGTGATTTATCACAATTGACCTACTAATAAGTCTATCAACATGGTTGCCACATGTGAATTCAGTGCGTGCCTCTCTAGATGGTGTTGACCTCAAGTTTGTCAAAGGACTACGAAAAATTGGACCATATTATAAGAAACTCAAGTCAGAAGCTGATCAAGGGGAAGACCATAGTCATGCTGCATCACAAGCTGAACATAATTTCAAGGAGGTCTCTTTGTCGTATGGATCAAAAGATGGAGACAATTTAAAGGAGGTCTCTGTGTCATATGGGGCAAAAGTTGGAGAGAGACCTAAAAAAGTTTTGGTATCTTATGGGGTAGGTGACAAAGATGTTCCAAAGAGAGACTTCGTGGCACAAGAAGGAGATGTAAAGGAGGTTTCTCTGTCATATGTATCAAAAGGTGGAAATAATTTAAAGGAAGTATCTGTGTCATATGGATCAAAAGATAGAGAGAGTCTGGAAGAAGTCTCAGTATCTTATGGAATAGATGGAAAATATGTTCCAAAGAAAGACTTTGTGGCACAAGAAGAAGACCTAAAAGAAGTCTCAGTGTCATATGGGTTAGATGAAGGAAAAAATGAACATATTGAAGTCTTAAATCAAGGTGAAGATGATCCACATAGAGTTACAATGTCATATAGGTCAGAACAAGAAGATGATCCCAATAAAGCTACAATGACATATAGGTCAGAACAAGAAGAAGATCCACATAAAGTTACACTGTCATATGGGTCAGAACAAGAAGATGATCCCAATAAAGCTACAATGACATATAGGTCAGAACAAGATGAAGAAGATCCACATAAAGTTACAATGTCATATGGGCTGGAACAAGAAGATGATCCCAATAAAGCTACAATGACATATAGGTCAGAACAACAAGAAGAAGATCCACATAAAGTTACAATGTCATACGGGTCAAACCATGAAGAGCATACAAATAAACTTACAATGACATATGGGTCAGAAGATGAAGTGGATCCAAATAAAGCTACAATGTCATATAGGTCGGAACATGAAAATGACCTAAAGACCGTTTCTACGGGGCATATGACACACATAGAAGGTAAAAGAAAGCTCAACTTATGAAGAAAGTGCATTTTTAGAATTTTCATGTTAATTTAGTGATTTTAATGTGATGATAAATATCCAGAGAACAGAGTTAGCTATTTGATTAAATATCATTTCTCAAATGATTTTTTTACTATTGCCCGTCTTTCAAGTAACAGGAAAGCCGAGCCACCATGTCCACTCTCATAGCCACAAGACCAAAAGACACGCGGATGTTTTCTTCTTCCACGACATGCTGCGGCCAGGGTCAATGATCACCCCAACCATCCCGCCGACCAACTCCATCCCGACGCTTCTTCCCCGCCACGTCGCCGACTCCCTTCCATTCTCCACCAAGCGCCTCCCGGACATCGTCGCGATGTTTGCGCCAACGTCCCTTGGGATGATCAGAGACATTCGGTGGACGCTGGACACCTGTGAGCACCCACGGACGCTCCCGGCGAAAAGGCAGGATGCATCACCTCCCTCGAGACCCTCGGCGAGCTAACGACGTCCCTTCTCAGAACGTCCAACGTTCGTGCGTTCTCCGCCGCCAATCTTCCCGTGGAAGCCCCGGGCACACCGGCGCTGCGGGGGAGGTACAACGTGACGGCTGCCCGAAGGCTCTCCAAGTCATCGGAGATCATGACCTGCCACGACTTGACGTACCCGTATGCGGTGTACTACTGCCACACATCCAACCCCACCGCCGCGTACGCGGTGACGCTGGAGAGCATGGAAAGGGGCGCGGCGCCGGCGACGATGGAGGCGCTGGCGGTGTGCCACCTCGACACGTCACAGTGGAGCCTGAAGCACCCGTTCTTTGCGCTGCACAATGTCAAGCCAGGGGATGTCGCTGTGTGCCACTTCCTCACCAAGCTAAGCGTCGTTTGGGTGCAGGCCGGCGAGCCCGGAAACGCACATGCGGCGGCCCGGTAGGCTGGAAAACACGTGTGTGTCGGGATGTGTGAGATGCGGCGCATTCATGAAATGGACGGCTCTAAGTGCATGTATCGAGGTTGTACTAAATAAATGCGCGCTTGCTGTGTCTTGGTGACGTTGATGTTGATTTTCGAGACGACTCCTCGGCGATCCATCGGATCGATCGATTCCGACCGAGCGCGGCGCGCGTCCTATTTCCTTTCCCTTTTCTGCTCGTTTCCAAAAAGCCCACCCGACCGACCGCTATCTATTCCTTTTTCCCTTTCGACATCCCCTCGCGGCAGTGACCAATACGGCGAGATGCCGCGGCCACATGAGCGACCACGAGGTCAGCGGCGAATAGGGCGAGGCGCCGCGGCCGCACAAGCGCTCGCGAGGCCAGCGGCCGCACGGGTGCCGCGAGGTCCAAGGGCGGAAGCGGCCAATACGGCGAGGCGGTGGCTGTCCGGCGGCGTACGTCCTCCTGACTGGGCTTGAGCTCCCGCTGTGCGTCCCCACCCGCATCACCAAGCTTCCCAGCGGCGTCCGC